ATATGATATGTAATAATATATAATAATATATATATATAAATTCAGACATCCCGTAGGAATGAACACACCTGTAAAGATCTTCACCAGGTTCAGTATCGGCCTGGCATTCATGAGCATAGTGACAGTTTGCACAGGCAGACACGACCCTACAGGGATTTTCGTGAAACATTCGCCTGCATCGTTCTTTGCAATTGCATTCAATATCAGATCAAGCTGAGTTGTCACTTCAGTGGGATCTGAATGCGTCATCGTATGGGCTACTTTGTAGATGTCGGCGAATACACGCGGTTTACTGTACTCGTCTGTATAAACCCTCGTGTAAATCATCAAGTGCGCAACAATATGAGAGACATATATCCATGTCTACCTCTTGATGGATAATATGATATGCATATATATAAATAAACACACAAATGTGTCCCCATGGGTCCAGATTATGTATGAACTGAATAAAGTGAAGACAAAAGCGCCTTATTTGGCGGTATAAAATGGCGGTTCAGCTTTCACGATCATAGGGTTTTATGTAAATTTCAGAAGGTCAGGATTCAAAAAACCTATTCCCGCAAAGTGCAAAGCCTCCTTTTTTCAAAACAAAAAGAACAAGGTGCATATGTATTTAAGAATCACCTGTTGGTGGCAAGAAAACCAAGAACCAATATTAAACGTAGGAAAATGTATTTAGTATATTTTATGTTGACGTACTGTTTACGTTTTACGCATTTATAGGGTTTAAGTGTGTACTTTAGAAGTTTAGAAGACTGTGTATATGTATTTAAATGGTTTTTTAATGGTAAAACTCATAACCTCCTAAATTGTACATAAAACGTTTTAGTTATAAATTATAAATTTACATGTATCTCTTATTTTCAAATACTCCCAAGAATCCATCATGATACATAGATAACTTGCCTTTCTGGGGCAGATACAGATGAACACTTGCGAGGAGCTTTCCAAAAATATTCGTCACACACACACAACACACACAACAAGCAAGAGAGAAGAGAGAGAGTCACTACTAGTTTCAAAAGAGAAATATAGGCACAACTACTCACAAAGTCAGACCAACACTTTTTTTAAAAGAGTTAGGAGTATCAGGACTCGGTCAATCAGGGACAGGACTGTCACAGGGTAATTTTTTGAAAATATAAAAGTCAGTGTTGCCAACTTGCCTCGGACCGCGGTTGCTAACTTTTTTTTAAATGTGTTTTTTTAAACAATGTCGAGTTATTACGAGCCATTTCATTCTTTGCGCTATTTAAAAAAAAAACGGAAATCCATACGGGTAATATGTATTGCATTTTAAAAAAATATACAAATTTTAAAGAAAAGCAACCCTAGAGCAGGGCCTAACTACATAAATATATAGGTTTGTCAACAGTTATCGTTAAGTAATTGTTTTTACTCGTACCGCTATGTTTAAACGCATAGATTCCGATACGATAGCGTTTTTTAAAACATTTAACGTTTGTATCTGCTGGTTGACATGTACAGGGCTTGTAGGCCCAAGTAGTAGAGTCCTATATTGTGTCTGATTGTTAACCGGAATAACGTTACATATATATGTACTTCTTTTTAAAGTGTGGAAGAGAGTTAACGTTTAGCGTTTATTCTGTACAGCAATAACGTATTTCAATATAGAGGGCTCGTCGGCCCGAGGCCTGTACATAAATAATTGTTTATTTTTTAGAATGTATGAAACACACAAAAAAAACCATAGCCTTTTAAGTACTAAAAAAGAAATGAAAAACAAAAAATATATTTACTGTAAAGCAACACTCAAAATATTGATCGGATTGTTTTTTTTTAAATAATAGTAACAAAAACAAAGACAAACAAGAGAGAAACGACGAGCTTTTTTTTAAATAAACAAACAATGGTATTTGTATAAAAAAATAATATTTAACAAACCATAGTCAGCTAAACTGAAACCGTTTTTCGTTAAAACTTTTATAAATCGAATAAATATGCGTTTACGTTCAACTTCTATCCCGTACCCTGAAATGAAAAATATATATAAAAATTCATGCTGAATTTACAATACATATCCTTCATTTGTTATTTTCCACAAAAGCAAAATTAACAAGAATGAAATTATTTTGGCGGTTGGGGGTTTTTTTCAAACTACAATATGAAACCCCGCATATTTCATTTTTCATTTCATTTTTCACTACCTTCCAACTTCGCAGGTTGAAAAAAGAAGTTAATGAAATTTCATTTTATTTCTAAACAATTCACTGCGTGAAATTTCACTGAAATTTCACTAAATTCGGCGGCAGGACGGACCTTCAGAGTGACTCTCAGTCTAATATAATAAATTGAGCGAAGCAAAAGAGTAAAACTCAAGACTCAAGAGAGTGGATAAAACACTCATTAGAGCCATCACTGTAGGAGTCTAGGACTAGTAGTCTACTACCAGTAGTGCGACTCTCTATGACTCTAAAGAGTAGTACCGATTTTACTTTATTTCTCGGAAAGAGAGAGAGTGAGCAGTCATTTTGAATAATTGGACAGCAATGTTTCTTCGGACAGTCCAGAGCTCTAGACAGACTCAGGAGTAATTATATACTTTTCAGGTCACTACTCTGAACTAGTCTGAAGCAATGAAAGCATCCCACTGCGAATGAGGGCGTGCTATCGGGCGTGTACAAAAATATACACTGCGTCACTGCGACCGCGAATTGGACACTCTGGCCGTCTGGCGCCTGGCAGACTGGAAGTAACTGGTGACAGTGGTGAGTCGGTGACTGGTGACAGTGGTGAGTCGGTGACTGGTGACAGTGGTGAGTCGGTGACTGGTGACAGTGGTGAGTCGGTGACTGGTGACAGTGGTGAGTCGGTGACTGGTGACAGTGGTGAGTCGGTGACTGGTGACAGTGGTGAGTCGGTGACTGGAGAGTGGTTTGGAAATAGTGAAGTGTGGTCGCTGGTGACTGGAGTGACTGGACAGTCACAGCGGTCGTCTGGTCGAGTTTGCGCGTGAGTTGCACACTTCTTGCACCACTCTCTCCTCTTGCTTCTTGTTGTTGTTGACTGGACAGTCACAGCGGTCGTCTGGTCGAGTTTGCGCGTGAGTTGCACACTTCTTGCACCACTCTCTCCTCTTGCTTCTTGTTGTTGTTGTTGTTGTGTTGTGTAATAAATACTTGTCGCAACTCGCAAGTTGCAAGTTTTGTTGACTGTTGAGCAGACCCGTCACCCGATCACCCGAGAGACCGAGACCTGTCTAAAACTAAATGTGGTAATACATTGTACATTTTTAGTTATTTACATACTGCATATAAATATTTACATATACAGTTTATAAATAACTATCTTTTTAAAACACAGTGTCAACTTGCAATTAAAATACTAAATAGATAAATATAGATATACCTGCGTCACGGAGTCACTCACGGGTGAGAGCCTGTGACGGTTGTGTATGTGCAGTGCTGCTGGCCTGGTATACGACAACGACGTCTTCTTAGAAAACTAAGTTAAATATAGGCTGCAACGCAAATAAATAATCCGATAAACGTTGTAAATCAAACGAGGGCCATATTCTAGGCTAGGCAATAGGCTATACATACCAACATTTTGTCCTGACGACACATTCTGATATTGAAAACTGAGACCAAAAGTTCTATAATAGGTGCACTATTCAGGTCACAGTATACCGGTATATACCAAAACCAAAATACGTTAAACGTTAAAAAGTAAGCGTTTATATACATGACGCCAAACGATGAGAGGTTGAAGGTGTGGACTGTGGACTGTGCTGTGGAGTGTGGAGTGTGGAGTTGTGGACTGTGGAGTTGTGGACTGTGGACTGCGGTGTGTGGACTGTGGTGGTGTGGACTGTGTGGACTGTGGAGTTGTGGACTGTGTGGACTGTGGAGTACATACGCCGGGTGGAGTGTGCATGAGGGCTACTGGCTAGACTCTACTCTACTAGAGCTAAGCTCAATACGAAATGTGTATGCGGACCTAGAAATTACACTCCATCTGAAATCAATAGGACCATGTATGTAATAAAAATTGAACTTTAACGCTTATATCGGCATGTAATAAAAGTTATATCGGTTGACGCATTGAGCTTAGTACTAGAGTCCAAGCCAGTCACCAGTGTTGGCTGTTGAGTGTTGACTCATAACCTTTTGTCTTTTTTCAAAACAAAATCAAAAAAGTGTGCGGTGGAGTGAGTGGACTCAGGTCTCAGGAGTTAGGAGGCAAGGACTGTATACAACATAGTCTCAAGTTTCAAGAGTTCACACTGACAGTGACAAGTGACAAACCGACAAACGCTATACTGGCCTTTTTTTATATTTTTATAAATATTCAATTCACAATTTTTCTGTGTTGGTATCCGAGACATCCTTAGAAAAATGTCGGCGTCTTTTTCATACATACATATGTTTTTAGTAAAGGTCTTAAAAATATAATTGACCTCACAGTGCCCAGTGGCTGTTTTAAGGATACAGGTAAAGGCCAATCAGAACTTCTGGTGAAACAAATATGTGGCTCCCACACTTCTACATAAAATAATACCTATTTACTTTTTTGTTTTTAAAAAACAAAATAGATTCATATATTCACATTTTGGCACCATACAACTTACAAAAAAAATGTTTTTTGAAAACAATCTATACAGTGTGATTGTGTGATTGACTGACTGTACAGTGTACACTACACTCTACATAGTACACAGTACACTACTACTACATAAATAAATACAACTACACTGTACTGTCAACAAGAGTATCAACTGTGTAGTGTGTAACGTAGCCCGAGCCTCGGCCACCGTAGGGTGTAGCACTGTAACCGTGTGTGTAGCCTACGCCCTACACTCCTACAGTGTAGGCCCTGTAAGGCATAGGCCGTAGGGCGGAAAGCGATAAGGATTATGTATATATA